ATTGCCAACACTTGTTTCAAGAAGAGAGATGAGCATCTCATCACCTACAAAAGTGGAGCCTCAAGGTCGCAGATTGATTTTCTTTTGGTTAGGAACACAGATAGAAAACTTTGTAAAAATTGTAAGGTGATCCCTGGAGATGCTGTAACGACACAACATAGGGTCCTAGTCCTTGATGTGTGTATTATGAGTAAAATCCAAAAACGTCGACAAGTAGTAACACCAAGGATTAGGTGGTGGCAATTAAAAGGTGAGAAGCAAGATATTTTCAAGCGAAATCTTTTGGATAAAGGAATTTGGGATTCTCAGGGAAGTGCTAACATCATATGGGAGGATATGGCTAAAAAGATACGGGAGGTTGCAAAAGTAGTTTTGGGAGAATCGAAAGGTCCTGGTCCGAGAGATAAGGAGTCTTGGTGGTGGAATAATAGTGTACAGGACAAAATCAAGTATAAGAAGAACTGTTTTAAAGCCATACATTTGTGTAACAATGAGGAAAATTGGGAGAGGTACCGTATGGCTAAGAAGGAAACTAAGAGAGCTGTGGGTGAAGCTCGTTCTAAAGCTTTTGAAGAATTTTATAAGAACCTTGAGACGAAGGAAGGAGAGCAAAATATTTATAAGATTGCCAAGAGTAGGGAAAGAAAATCAAGAGATCTAGAACAGGTAAGGTGTATTAAGGATGAAGAGGGAAGAATTTTAGTTACAGATGATGAAATTAAAAATAGATGGGAGACTTATTTTTCTAAACTTTTCAATGATGGAGAGGATTCATCTAGTAACTTGGAGGATTTAGTAACTGGTGAAGGAGAACAAAATTTGTCATTCTATCGAAAAATACGTGATAAGGAGGTAAAGGAAGCTCTTAAGAAAATGGCAAATGGTAGAGCTAACGGACCTGATTGTATATCTATCGAAGCGTGGAAATGTTTAGGTGAAGAAGGGGTGAGATGGTTAACTAAGTTATTTAATGTGATTTTACGGTCCAAGAAAATGCCTGATGAGTGGAGGAGAAGTACATTAATTCCTATTTATAAAAATAAAGGAGATATTCAGAATTGTACTAACTATAGAGGGATTAAACTCATGAGCCACACAATGAAATTGTGGGAGAAAGTAATTGAGCACAGGTTGAGATTGGAGACAAGTATTTCTGAGAATCAATTTGGTTTTATGCCAGGTAGATCAACTACAGAGGCGATTTATCTACTAAGGGGATTAATGGAAAAGTATCGTTGTAAAAATAAAGATCTACACATGATTTTTATTGATTTGGAAAAAGCTTATGACCGTATACCAAGAGAAGTGCTTTGGAAAGCGTTGGAAAAAAAGGGAGTACGGATTGCTTATATTAAAGCCATACAAGATATGTATGAGGGGGTAAAAACTAGTATAAGAACGCCTAGTGGTCAAACAAAGGATTTTCCTATAAAGATTGGGCTACATCAGGGATCATCTCTGAGTCCTTATTTGTTCAACTTGATTTTAAATGTTTTGACGGAACATATTCAAGAGGAAATCCCGAAATGTATGCTCTTCGCGGATGATATAGTTCTTATAGCAGAGACAAGAGAAGAGGTTAATTGCAAACTTGAGTTATGGAGGAGGACATTGGAGTCGAAAGGTTTTCGTCTGAGTAGAAGTAAGACGGAATATTTATATTGTAAATTTGATAAAGGACTATTCGAAAATAATTTGGAAGTGAAATTGGGAGATCAAATTATACCTCAAGTGGAAAAGTTTAGATATTTGGGAGCCATTATCCAAAATGATGGCGAAATCAGTGGAGATATTTCACATAGAATTCAAGCTGGGTGGTTTAATTGGAGAAAAGCTAAAGGAGTTATTTGTGACCGTAAGGTGCCTAATAAACTTAAAGGAAAGTTTTATCGTACTGCTATCAGACCGGCAATGTTATATAGTAGTGAATGTTGGGCTCTAACGGGACAGCAAGAGCATAAAGTTGGAGTAGCAGAGATGAGAATGTTACGATGGATGTGCGGACATACACGTAAAGATAAAATTCGAAATGAGCACATACGTGAAAAAGTGAGGGTGGCACCTATTGAGGAAAAAATGGTAGAAAATCGGTTGAGATGGTTTGGGCATGTACAAAGAAGACCAAGGGAGGCACCAGTGAGAAGAGTGGAACATATAACTTTGAGTCCGATTAAGAGAGGTAGAGGAAGGCCTAAGAGAACACTCTTGGAAGTTGTTGAACGTGATCTCTTAATTAATAATATTTCTAAAAGCTTAATAAATGATAGAGCACAATGGCGTCTTGCAATCCATGTAGCCGACCCCACCTAGTGGGATAAAGGCTTGTTGTTGTTGTTGTTGTTGTTATAGTTTTTTAAGAGAAAATAATAATAAAATCTTGTTGAAAATATATATATATATATATATATATAACAATTAGGTTCCTCAAAAATGCCATAATTCATTTGAAGTCACCAGGCATTTTTCTAATATTAATGATTTTAGATTAAATGACTAAATTGCCCCTTCTTTAAAATAAAAAAAATACAATTCACATGAAAAATTGTAATGTTTTGTTTAATTCTTGCGATTTACAAAACAAAACTTGCGATCGATTAAAAAAAGTTATAAATGATTATTTTCAAAACTTAAAATTCAATGATAATAGAAATTTTACAAAGGAAGCTATGATTTCTGTTTAATTTTCACGATTCATAAAAATTATTGTTGCTTAAATAAAAGTTATGATTGATTATTTTTAAAATTTAAACTTTAATAATAAAAGAAATTTCATATGGGAAGTTGTAATGTTTTATTCAAATTTTACAAATTACAAAATCAAAGTTATGATTGTTTAAACAAAAGTTGTGACTAGGATTAGTTATTTTTAAAATTTGTTTATCAATCATAAAAGAAATTTCTATAGAAAATTGTAATTCCTTGTTCAAATTTTGTGATTTATTGAATAAAAGTTATGGTTAGAACTAGTTATTTTTAGAACTTTTTTATCAATCATAAAAGAAATTTCATATGAAAAGTTATGATTTTTTATTTAATTTTTACGATTTACAGAATAAAGTTGTGATTATTTAAACAAAAGTTATGATTGAGAAAATGAAGCTAGACCTGTAATTTTTATTTTAAACAAAGAAAAATTTAATCATTTAATTTAAAATCATTAATGTTAAAAAAACATCTGGGAACTTCAAAGAAATTATAGCATTTTAAGTTACCTGATTGTCATTTATTTATTTCAGTGGGATTTCATTGTTATTTTACCTTTTTTAACTTTAAATTATGTCCTTATAATTTATTTTATTTTAATCAAATCCTTATAGTTAGATATATTAGATTTATCCATCCTTGATGATTAAAATCTTTTAATTTTTTTAAAAAATAAAATTAATAATATTTATATTTTTAATAATAGATTATATGATTTTAGAATTTATTGCATAATTTTTATAACTCAAAACTTATTTAACTAGGTTATTTATTTTAAAAAATTTTATATATCTAAAATTTTCATAAAGCATTAACTAAAAATGTAAACATTGTATTAAATTAATTTTTTTGCCACATATATTAAATCACATTTTCTGTAAACATCAAGAGTGTTTTTATTTTGAGAAAATTAACTATTGATTAATAATTTTAACTTTTGGGGATTAGCATGTTGAATAGGTCAAAATATAAGGACTTAATTAAAATAAATTAAAATATAGGGATGTAATTTAAAATTAAGAAAAATTATAAGGACCCAGGATTGATTTTTTTAAAAAAAATTTTTAAAATGCAGAGAATGACCCAAGTTTTAAGAAAGAATTGTAAATGGAAAAAATGCTCACACATGATTGACAGATAGCTGAATTGAACATAGTAGAAAAGGAGTTGGAAATACAGGAAAATTAATTGCAAATGAGTTATAAATTGTTGAAGCTTTGCAAATCTTGCAAGCTAAGTTGCAAATGTTGAAAACTCAGTCTTGAATAAGAGAAAATTAGTTGCATATCACTTGCAAACTTTAATTTGAAAGTTTTAGAAATCCAAAAAGTTTAATCTACAACATTTGCAACTAATTTTCGTTCTATTATTACAAATGAATTTCTAATATTTGCATTCGAATTTTTCATGATTCACAAAACTTATATAATTTATAACTCATTTATGACTAATCTTGCTTTGCTAGATTCGCATTTGAGGTTATGTTATTTAAAACTTATTTCTGACCATTTGCAACTAAAAGCTAGGTTTCAACTAAATAAGGGCATTTTTTCTACTTCTTTTTTACAAAACTTTGGTCTTTCTTTGTGATAAAGTTGAGATTCCACGCAACTTCTAGATTGGTTTTGAACCACAGTGAATTTGTGTGACAGTAAAATGTGACAATACTAAAATATTGTACCTAGGGTTTTTGCCAATTAAGACAAATTTTAACATATGTATTTCCACAACTACACTTCACGTCGAATGAAGCATTGATCTTTCTAAATTTCACGATCAATGAAATCTAAATTTTGAGGACTTCGTACAAGTAGAGGTGAATTGGGTCAAGAATAATATCCAAATGGATAGAAATTGAGAGAAGCTGGATAAAAATTAACTAGAACCAGATAGAGGTATGAGAGGGCAAAAAGTGTTAGACACAGGTACAGTTGCACCAAAGTGTAATTTAAGATGCATGTAGCTCCTCACATGCAGAATATTTTATGAATAAATTTTGCCCCAAAACCCTTTCGTAAATTAGTTGCTATGCTTCTATCTAATTAGCTAATGGTCTTTTGTCTCCAAATTATTTAGTGGAGCTCATTGTTATTACTTTTTACCCCGTCGTTGAGCAAGTTCTTTTTTAGTACTTGACCTTATATTTTCTTTATAATGCGACTTTAAAGTTTATATAAGCTTCTTCAAGTTGATTGCCATTAGCTGCATGTGCAAATCGGAATTGAGTTACTTATGGCCAAGTACTTTACTATCCTTAACCTTACTGTGTTATTTGTATGAATCATGCACTGGTATACTTTTTCAAATGAAAAACCAAGCTATATTACAATAAGCAAAAGATACATAGATACAACACCACCTAATTGGCCTCTATTTTCTAGTAAAGCAAACGTTTGCTTGGCCTGAATAAAAACCTTAAATAATATGTTGAGTAAATAATATCATAAAAAAGTTCAAACTGCAGAAATAAAAATATGACTATTGGTAGGAATGACAGCAGAGAAATGAAGCAAGGAACCCACTTTAAGCCATGGTCATATATTACGAAGAATGCACTGCTGAATGCTATCATCATGCTTGCTATGGAGATGAAGAGAGTAACCAATCCAAAAATCAGCTTCAAGGGTAGAGACTTGTAAAAGTCATACTCTGCATAGCGTGAGATAAGAATGGACAAGAAGACCAATATGGAGGATGAAGATGAGATCAATGCAATAGCATCTGATATGGCAAATATCGTAAATGATCGTTTCCCCAAACACTTTGGAACTCCTGTATCATCATTGGTACCACCCGGTATGCTAAATGCAGCAGAAAACACTCCAGTTGCAATAAGAGTTGAAACAACCAAACCAGAACCAGATGTCCTCTTCATCCATGACTCAGCTTCTTTTCGTAAAGTAAAGTGTTCCTTAGTGAATAACTCTTGAGGAGTTTCACCTTTTAGGTTTTTCTTCTTAGCATATGATGGCAACACAATCTTCCTCACCTCCTGCCATATCAAATTAAAGGGTTGTTTATAAATTAATTCATGTATATACTCTAGCCATTGGGTCATTTAAACCATTTCATAGTTGGTAAGGAAGAAGTACCTCAAACCATAGCAGTTCGAGCTTCATTTGAAAAGCGGCCCCAGATACCAACTCAAGTCGATCAGCTGGTGCTAACTTTGCAGCCAAATGTAATATATTGTTTCCATCCTCTGTGTCTGTAAATGACAATATAATATCCTTGTTTCCACTTATATCATGAATGAGATTGAAGATAGCAGGATGACGATACAGAACAGCAATGTGAATTATACTTCTCTTTTTGTCGTCCAACTCCCAAATTATGTCAGGGTAAGACTTCATAAGCTCAGCTAAAAAGTCGAAGTTTCCAATTTTTGTAGCATCAAATAATAATCGCGATGGTTCATTTATGATTTTCCTCATATCCAATATTGAGTCTACTTGATCCAGAACTCCTCTCCACAAGAAATGGACAAGTTGAAGAGCAACGCCATGCTTCATACCTAGGTCATATACTTTGACGAATTGAATAACCCAACTCTGAAGTTAGTCAATATTTTGGGGGAATCTATGATTTTAGCCATAATATTGATTAAATACTTTTTGAAAAAGGAAACAATAATTTTGATAGATACCAATTTAAGACAAGTTTTCTGGTCTTCCTAAGTAGTACAGGACGAATTACCTGAACTTATGAGTTGATGATTTTGACGTTCAGAACTGTGACTTCTCAAATTTGCTATCATTTTTTGAGCCAAGATATGCAAACCTGTCGTACCATCTTCATCTTTTGCCAATGCTAGCTGTGGCTTATCCTTCAACATCTTCAATGCTAAGTCTATGAAATTTCCAAAAACACAAATAATGCCAATAAATGCAAATTCAAAAAAAGGACGTTATTATGAAAAGAATGATTATTGTCTTATTTAATATGTATTAAATGCTTATTCATGCTGTACCTATAAGGCTATACTTCTTCACTCATAGTATAAGAGCATTTATGCTTCATAGGCAACATATACTTACCATAAATATCAGAGTCGATGCAAGTTAAGAATAACTTATTCCAATCAGCTTCTTCAAGTATATCAGTAGTCTTAGGGTATAGAAACCGCGCCATGTCATCTCTTCCTTGTAAAGCAGCAAAAAGAACTGGAGTGAAACCGTCCCCGCCCCTAATTTTTGCCAAGAATGGATTTATTTTCAACATTAACCGAACCATCTCCATGTTTCCTCCGGCAGCAGCAAAGCAGAAGGCAGTGTTTCCCATAGAGTCTTGTAAATCCAAGTCACTCTCATCCATCAAGTTCAAAAGCTCTTTCACAAACCGAAGATGGCCTGCTCCTGCTGCTATATGAAGTACAGTGGGACATTCTATTGCTATAGCAGCTTTCAGAAGCGTTCTATCATGAATCAACATTGGTTTAGCTTTTTCCCAATTACCCTCCATTGCATATTTGTATAGAGGCACACATATGTTCAGGTATTTGGCTCTGGCCTCCCCTGAAACAAAAGAGATTTGATTGTGAAATTCTCATCCAATTTTTTTTGGGCGGGATTCATGGGTAAGGTGCTGATCAAATCCCCAACAAGAATACAGTATGTTGACAAATGAAATTTTCTTAAAACATATAGTCTAGTGCTGAGTGATAAAAAGAATATTTATGTATTACTTTAGTATATTTGATAAATAGCTTAATAATAAAAATTATAACCAAGAAAAAGATAAAAGGAAAATATATAGAGAAAATAAATTTATAGAGGCAAGGAGTGGCAATAACTGACATTCAGTCTTCATTCTTTGGTGGCCAAGACTCAGTATTCTTTGGTGGCTTTGGAGTGGATGAGCAAGGATTTGAGTGACGTAGAGCAAAATTTATCCTTGTTCATCAAGAACTCTCTACCTCTACCTTCATCTTTCTTTTCTATGATTTGGGATTTAAGTTGTGTTTTGATGATTATTTACATTCTTATGTATTCCATCTTTCTTTTCTATGATTTGGGATTTTAGTTGTGTTTTGATGGTTATTTACATTCTTATGTATTCCATCTTTCTTTTCTATGATTTGGGATTTTAGTTGTGTTTTGATGGTTATTTACATTCTTATGTATTCCTAAAGTCCCAGTTAAGAGTAGCATGTAGCCTAACTCGAATTGACTTTATCTTTTTTAGTGCTCTTTTTCATGATTATTTATTTATGTTGATATTTTCCCCTTAAATTATATTTATCTTCATGCGGATCATGTGATTGGCCATCATAATATCTAATCAATGAGTAAACACAATGGATTCAAAGGAGAGGAATGAACAGAGATCTAGAGTGGTCAATATATAAATAACTAGACTAATAGAGATAGATTTAGAAATTCATGGTGACTTTAGTTGCAGCTTCATGGTTTAGTTGGGACTTACAATTGCGCAAGAATGAATTCAATCCTAATTAAACAATGACAATAAAATGACTTATAATTAGGATATTATATGAACAATATTCATTATAATTACAGAGAGTTAACTTAAAAAGTGAAATTTAATTAATCATCCTAGAAGGTGAAAGTCAATCTCCTAATAATGCTCTATTGATTGGATTGATCTTTATATAGTTCTTTTATTTTGTTTACTTCTTATAAATTTTTGTCTTCAGCTAACTATTATATATATATATATATTCTCTCCCTATGGGTTCGACAAGAACACACTAGGTTTCCTTTATTACTATGATCAAACATGTCCACTTGCAGGATTGAGCCGATCCGACAGGTTTGACCTTCAATTTCCTATAGGTCATTCCTATCTAACCCTCATGGCATCTCTGAAATTGTTGGAAGAGTGATTTTTACTTGATAAAATTGTTTAGTTATAAAGAAAACCCCAGTTCTAAAAAAGATCGCAGATGACTTAATAATAAGGCTCTAGTATTGACAGTACAACACTTAATTAAGCTTATGTCCTTGTGGGATATGGGCAAACGATTACAAATTGTCTTTTAATGCTTAGCCAACTTTAACAACTCATTTATTGGACTTTCCAAATTAATTCACTTAAGCCACATAACTGTGTGGGGTAACATATCCATTTATATATACTTTATCTGGTTAATGGATTACATCATCTTCCTGATCATAATCGCCGTATAATTTCATCTAATATCAAAATGGCATACGAGTTTAATTAAATTTTTGCTAAAATTATAGAATAATAACTAGCAGTATTGAATCAAAATTTAAGTGAAATTATAAGGATCCACAAAATAATTGAACTTATTAGTTTTTTATTCCACATTTTTAAAGTGAATGGATAGAGTGGTTAATTACTTGTATCCTCCAACAGATGAGGTGAAGGTCTCCTAAACACAGTGGAATCGAACCTCAGCAATTGGGTGTTGTGATAAGGTCCCTGAGGAGGATTAATTAGATCTCCATTTGAGTACTCCATGTATCTGCAAAATCATACATATCAACAGTTCCGTAGTTAAAAAATATATAATTTCATTTTATAAAAAATATATATATATATACATATATAATTTCATTTACATAAGCAAATTATTTTTTTAAAAATATAACTTTAAGTTCCTGCACTTTACTTGAATTTTGCTGTAAGTCACTGCAATTTTTTTCCTTTTATATTCTAGATCCCTACACTTTTATGTTTTGGTATTCTAGGTCCTTCCATAAACAATGTTATAGGGACTTAGAACATCTAAAAACAAAAGTATAGAAACCTAAAATACAAAAAAAAAGTAGAAAGACCTATAACAAAACTCAAACAAAATACAGGAATTCCAAGTTATGGTTTCATTTGTTTATTAACTGTAGTGGGATATGGGTCAAGTACATTTGCATAAAGTACAGGATAAATTATACTATTTATGACTTATGATCACTTGAAACTTATGTTATGAGCGTAGAGAAGATCCATCTTAAAAGACTATCATGTTAAGTAGGAAAACCTCTCACACTTATAAATTTTACTCAACTTATGAGGCTCCTTGATATAGAATTTATTACAATGCTACCCTATCAAAAGTCAACCTCTTTGATGGCTCTACTCACTTCATTCAGTCTCCTGCCAATCATGGCCTTTCATGAGTAGTACTTTCTAAAACTCTGAATTCTTAATGAAAGTACCTATGTTATGAACACGAGCTTAAAGGAGGAACCTAGCCCAAAAAACTAGCATGTACGGTGGAAAAGTTTTTTACACTTATAAATTACACCTATAAAATCTCATTCAACTTATAAGATTTCCTAACATGGGACTCATTATTTTTTATAATACAGTGATGACAGTATTTATATATGCAAAACCCAAAATAAGCAGTATAATATATAATTAAATTAAAAAAGGTAAAACAAAGAACTTCATACTACGGTCAAAAACAATGCAATATCGTGATCGCGCGCACAATAATACGGACAAACTTCACACAAAAAGGTGAAGTTTCCGAGTTTAAAATTTTTTTTACCCAATATACTAATTTTTTGGGATGAATTTCTTTTTTAGATCTGTGCCCGAAGCATTGGTGTTCAATTTCAATGAGAAGTTAATGTCATAAAAAAACACTATTCATGCAAGAGAAGTACATATTTGCATGTTCTTCTTTTTTTTAAACGGGAGGGAAAAAAAAATTACGCTAACATGTTATTGTATGTGCTTCTGTTCGTTCTTTAAATTTGTGCTTACTGTATTTTCTTTTCCTTTTTCCTTTTTCTTTTTCCTAAGTGTTTATTACATGTTGAAATTAAGCAAATTCTCGGAAGCAGCTCCATATGGCCCCACCATAACAACGACTTTGCAGAACAACAATTTTTGTGGTGGAGCATTATTCTATCTTCATCGAGGAAATTAACCCTTCTTCCAAAGTTTTCAACAATAATTAAAAAATTAAACTAAATTGAACAATCAAATATTCGATTGGTCAGGCTAACGATTCGGTCAAATTAAAAAAAAATTATTTAGAGAGGTGAGCCGATTGGACTGTTTTGAACAGGTAATTAAACGAAAAATCAGGATCAACTAAAAACTGAATCTGATTTTTGAAGGCTGGATTGTTCAAAAAAACACCTTTATTTTTTTTTAATTTTTTTATCAAATTTTTTTAAAAAATATTAATTTCTTAATCATTTAATGTTATGTTATATCATGTGACTTGTTAAGTCATGATAAATTTAAAATATTTAATTTTATTTTTTTAGTGACGTAGCAATTTCACATTTATTTTTTATATTTAAATTATTATGTATATATAATTTTTTAATTTAATTATTATATTAGCGGTTTGACCATTAATCCAACCTGATTTAATTATGCAAACCGTGAACTGTTAGATTTTTTTTAATTCAATATTTAGCGGTTTGACCATTAACTCAGGTATATAGTTGTTTGATATATATATATATATATATTACAATAAAATATGTATTTCTCCAGATAAAAAAATGTGTAGACAATCTGTAATTATCCTCATACCTGGAATTCGATTGAAACAGGGAATTTGATTTCCCCTTGCAGCACTTATGCCTTTGAACCGACTTCTGGAATCGAGTGCCTAGTTTTCCTGGTAATGATACTAGTGATACTACAAATATTATAATAACAAAGTGACAGGAAAAGTTCTTAAAAATATAACATCTGATTATCTTTTTCCAGTTTCTAGGAATTTTTTTATATTAATATGTTTTGTAAAATGAGTATAATGCTTCCATTTAAAATAAAATCACGATAAATTTGCAATAGAAATTGTTTAGTCTTTATTTAAAATAAAGTAGCCAAACAATATGTGCAATACTTGAGTTTTAATGATTAAAAAATTTACGAGAAAAATTTATAATTAATTATCCTGTTTTAATCATTATCAGAAAAAAATATTAATTATTTAAACAAAAATATTCAATAATACTTATAATACTTAAATTTCAGTAATTACTCCCATTTAAAAATATAAGGTATTTTTAACCGAATATCACCCCAATAGAAAAATTTTAAAAAAAATAATGATTACACCTCGCAAGATTAAAAATGTCTTATATTTTTTAAGATCTAACTCCTCAAAAAATGTCCTATATTTTTAAACAGAGGAAGTAAAAAATTTGCAAAGCAAAAATTATCATTTCATATCCCATTTTAGTCATACTAAAAAAAATTATTTCTTAAATAAAAATAATTACTTATATATATATATATATTTTAAACTAGAGTTATTATATCATTTTACAAAAGACATCAACATAAAAAAGGTCTCAAAAACTCGATAAGAATTAACATATTCTGTGAGATCTTATTATTATTCACATGTTTTAGGAGAATTTTTATATTGTTTTCACTAAAAAGATATATGATAGTCTTACATCAAGGTGGAATGATTAGAGAATTAACCATAACCATAACCATATAAGTGTGTGGTGAGCTCTTCCAAAATAATTTAAGCTATTTTAGTATTAATGATAAGCTATAGTTTGTGATTTGGGTAAAACTCCAACCTATGGAATTTTATGAATAGAAAATTTAATTCATTTAACTTACATATATTTGAAGAGAACTTGGAGCCATTTTTGATGAAATTATAAAGGTAATGCACAAAGAAGAAATAGTAGAATGAAATGAAAACATATTACTGAAATTTACTGAGAGAAATTCGCGAGCAAATACTTGAACAATACAAACACCACTTACAGTAGGAGAAGATGAAAGAAGCATCTGTGAATGAAGGATAGAGAAAGAAGACAGTTACCTTATGGAATGATCGCTCTATTTGTTCTTTGCTGGTAGAGTGATGAGATTACTTGATCCTCTCAGGGTGTGATAAAATTACTGAAAGATTGCTTCTGTAACAGAATCCTGAGGATGCTGGTGAGGGGGAGAGAAGGATCCTTGATGGATTTAATTAGGAATAAAGTGACGTGAGAGAACCTGCTAGGGTGGTTCAAGTAATTGAAATTTAAAAGCTTTTTTTTTTTTTTGGGGGGGGGGGATGTTTGGTCGATCCATATCTTCTCCATATCATATGGGGCCCAATACACTCAGCTTTCTACTTTCTAAAACATTTATAAGTTAAAAGCGAAAAATACTTTATCAAAAAAAAAAGCAAAAAATACAGTGAACTTTTTTTTCCAAAGACACCTAACAATCTTAGGTGAAGGATGGGATAACAATATTCATAATGTTAATGAAGAGGGTTGGAGGGTGATAAATTATGAAATTTGATTAATATTTATTAAAGTTGATTATTAAAAAATAAAAAAATATAAAGTATAAAAATATTTATAAATTTTTTCTCTATAAACTTTTGATATCACAAAGTTAATAACAAAATTTCATAGACAACATTAAGTTATTTTAACATATTTGAAAGGGTTAGATTCAGTAACTTAGGACAAATCTAACGTGTTAGTTTGAATAAGCTCAAAAAATCTTAGTATTGGACTTGATAGTTTAATTTTTTTTATTTTGAACTTATTCAGACCATCTAAATAAGTTCAAAAAAATTTAAGCCAAACCTAAACCTGAATAGGATGAGCCCAAATACCTAAATACTTTATAATACTAATAAAATAAAATTAAAAATAGATAAATACTGAATGATCTTCATTCTTTTAGATAAAAATAAAATTTACTAAAAAAATACAATAATATTTTAGAACTCTGGTATTCAAACCAGCTTGAATAAGTCCGAAAGCTAGAGTTGGCCTCTTTTATAAAACTAATGGATATCTAAGCACTATTATTGACTTAATAATACTAGAAGCTTTTAAATAAAAAATTTATCAGTATTTTTGTACCTTTTGCTTGCTTCTGTTTTTTAAATGATCAATATTAATAGACGTTAATTAAATTTAATAATTTGGACAATTTTGCATTCATTTTATCAAAGTTATGAATACGTTTACACTGACTTTTAAAATATTAGGTACTCCTAAAATAAGTTTATGAGCATTTTTGTTTTTTAATCCAAAATTTATTGAAGATGCATAATGCTTGTTGAACTGTTGTAGCAGTTGTCGTTTCGTTTTTGGTGTAGTTTGTCTTTCCTATTCGTCGTTTAGCCTTGGTGTTTTCTGGATAAATACTCGTGACATTTGAATTATTAAGCAATCCAAAGTATTATTCAGTAAAGTGGATTTTTCATTAATTGTTTGATAGTGGGATCTAGTAATATATTAATGTCAGCAAAATTAAATTGAAATAATATGAATTAATTGATCAAGTTTCTTGTCCTTGTTGAGCTTGTTATTTGAGATAGTTAAGATTATTTAAAAGTAGATAACTAATCAAACCATAATATATTCCCATGCAATTAAATATAATCATTATATATATAAAAGTAGGGTCAAAGGCTACAAAAAAATACCATATATCTATTTTTAAGTTTTTTGTAATTTTATACTTTAAGATACCTTCTCTGCAATTTTGTGCTTTAGAGTTAAGTCGTTTATTATTTTATATATATATATATATATATAATATTATTTAGGTTTTGGAATTAAGTGTGAAATGAATTATTAATATTTATATATAAATAAAAATTATTTTTACTTATTTAAAATTCAAATATGATCATATTTAAATTTAAATTAATATCTATATATTTAAAGTTTTCATCCACCTTAAAAATATGTCAAGAATCTAAGTTCATATGATCAATTATATATATATATAGGAATTTAGATTTAAATTAATATATATCTGTTTTAATATTTAGAAAAAGAATTTGCGTGAGTATTTAAATCTATCTTCATGAGTTTAAAATTTCAAATTAGAGTATTTGAATTTTTCTAAATAAAAAGGGTTAATTTAAATTTCAAAAGTCAAATTAAATAAAAATGATTAATTTAAATTCCAAATTTTAAGCTAGATTAGGTTAAATTTCAAAATCTGGCGATTGGATTATATTGGCAATTTAAATTTAAATTTCCCTCCAATGCATATATAGTATATTTATAAATAAATGAGCTTGGCTACAATTTCATTCTATGCTTCTAGTTTTGATTAATTTTAGTATCATTCACCAAACTATTGTGCAAATAGTGTATCAAAATGATACTTCAACGGCCCTCATATATTTTCATTGCTAATGTTTACTTTGTCTTTTATTTATTTACTACAACTCTATCTTAATGTTTCATTCCACTATACCACTGTCATTAGTATATAAGTTTTATGTTAATCATGCTATCAACATGTTCAATTGAAAATGGCAAATCACAATTCATGTAATTTATTCTCAAAGAATGCTTAATCTAAACTTATCAAACAAATCAAATGTTTAAGATGTCAAGTAAGCCTTTGTGATTATGATATTACTTGAGAATGATACTAGTTTCATTTGTGTATATTATTAACTAATTTATGTTTGTGCTCCCTTTTTATAAGGTATCAAATTGTCATAATTGTTTGGAATCTCTTTATGAGATATGTCAGTAATAGGTAGAAATCAGTAAACATACAAAGTTTGGTGTCGAAAGTGATAAATTGAAGGCTCAAAATTTATGTATATATTAATATTAATCATCGTCCTCATACTCTGGTTGTGAAATGATTATTTTGTTTGGATTTCTTAAGTTGAATTTTATTTTAATTGATAATTCATATTCAAAATTTTCTCAAATACCAACCTAGGCATGTGCTTCCTTCTTGCTATTCTATGTTTCGTGATTCTTTTTTTTGTAATTTTGTATTTCAGGAATCAAGCTTGAATCTTAATTTGTGGTTAAGTTTAAACTAATTTTTTAATAATTTATACATATGAACTAATGAAATAGTTATAATATGTATATCTTCTAAATATAATATATTATTTTTATCTGCATTCAACTAAATTTAAATCTTTAAAATTTAAATTTATTTATTTGAAATGTTGTTATGAACTCATAAAAGGAACACTATGAAATATCAAGCTTTGAATTTTAAAGATATTATTTAAAAAATTTAAACAAACGCAATAAAATCTTGCACAACAAATTTAAAAAACAACGTTTTTAAAAAATATTAAACAAATAAAAATCAAATATCATAAAAACTTATAAAATAGCTTTTAAAAAAATATTTTTTTCATAATGTAAGTTGAAACAAACGGGTCATCTTTAAAAAGAAATCTATTTTATAAAGACTTTATTAGAAAAAAACATATATTATTTATTATTTTTAGATTATGTAATCAATTTATCTTATTTAATAATAGTGGTTATATAAAACTAAAAGTAGGATTAATTTTGATGATTTTTCTATGATTCTGTATTTCAGAGTGTCTTCCCTATAATTGTATGATTCAGGAGGTAAGGATTGTCATTGATTCCATGGTTGGTCCAAGATAATACTTTTAATTTTTAAAGGTATAAATTAAAAGAGTGTTTTAAGGGATGTATAACTCCTCATATTTAATTTTCTAATTTTGAAGAAAACATCTAACTTATTAAAAATTCGTTTGATTTTTTGAGTATATAACATAAATTAAAATTCAATTTTGATTTGATTTAATAAATTTAAATTTACTTGAAAATATATAAAAAATGAATATTTTATTTGTAAATACATTATTAATCTAATTGAGATAAAATATCATATTAATATAATGATCACGCTTGATATTGGTTTACAAAAATTCTGATATAAAGATTAGTATGTTGCTGAATGAATAACAATTATACTTGAATTATGTTAAAATATGCATCTCAATTTAAATATAATTTAGTTTTGATATTGCTAATTTTTGATGTATTAATCTAAATGAAATAAAAATAAATATGTAAATAAATATATGATGGAAAATTTTAATTCAAATCTAATGATTAAATAATTTTATTTATATTTATTGATAAAATACTAATATTAATTAATTTAATAGTTTTTAATTGATAATTTTAGTTAATTACTAATTATTGGTTGACGAAACTCAAATACATAATCGAAATGAGTTAAATGTGCAAAAAATATCATTTAATTTAAGTTGTAAAAAATTATCAAAGTTACATATTTTTTTAAAAAATAATTTTCCAAAAAATTAATCATACCTTTCACAAAGTGTTTGAAAAAATTTTTAAATACTATAATTTGAGTACTTTGGGTTAATAATATCAATCATTATATTTAAAATAAAAAATGAACTACATATATCCTTATGTTGATAAGGATGTAGAAGTCAAACATAAAATTGTTAGGATTGCACACTGACATATGACGATGAAAAGCAAATGAGTACGTTGGATGAATCATGTACAATATATTGTGGGAGGGAATTTTCTCAACTTTTCTTACTCTTTATTTCTTATTTTTATCATTGAATTATATTTAAATGATTAAAATTTAATATATTAAAAAAATTATCATATAAAATAAAAATATATATAAAAAATTTAAACTAATTAAATAAAAAATATTTGTATTATTATATTAAATAATTAAGATAATATATACATAAATAGCAATTCAGGAATGTAAAGGATAAAAAGTGAAACAATTATTACATAAATATTTTTTAAAAAAACTCTACATCAATGTTTTAAAATAAATTAAATGACAAATCAGAAATGCTAGCATATTATAATTTTCATAATTTACCGATAGTTAAATCAATAATATAATAATTAAATAAAAAAATTATATACATGTGTCAATACATTGACATATAAAAAATAAAATATAAAAAATACTCATAATACTTTTCTTAATTTAGAGTTATTCAGTCAAAACATATTAAATTTTATTTTTATGAATCAATAATTTATTCATTTATTTTAAAATTTTTTATAGATGTTTGAAGGAAAGCAACCTATGAGTTGCCGTCTTCTTAAGAGAAGAGGTAACTTTAACTGTCAACCTTGTTAATAATAATGAAATAAGTTAAAAGAATGCGGAGCGCGTGGCGAGAGCCGACGAGGGCATGTGATCACTTTTGTAATTTGTGCG